CCTGTATGTCTAGAAAGCACTTACGAAACAGTCGGTCGGGATTCATAAGGCGGTGAATCTGAGGAGGTGGAGGATTGTTGAGTGGAATGTGTGGGTTGTTCAGAGGTGGATATCTGCAACAGTAGCCTAAGTTAGGTTGTCGAATGTAATAAAATAAAACGTGAGGAACCTTTTCTGACTGCCTTCTCTGAGAGTACCATTCTGGAATGATCTCATTGTTGCCACCCAAGCTTCCATGACGCTGTATACGAAAGAGCCGTCAATCCATGCTGTTCGCTCGTTTACCTTAATGATCAGACCATAAGTTGTAGAGTTGGTTGTTTGAACCTCACCCTCTCTGCTACGTAAAACTATAGCTCTCAATGTAAGAGGCTCTGTAATAACGACACACAGTACATAGAATTTGGAACAGTTCTCGTACTGCATTTCAGCCCACAACTCTGAGAGTTGCAATATCCTCACCTGCTCCCTTGGAGAATTGAACCCTTGCCCGGATTCCTTGTCGTATTTAGCGCGAGTAAAGGGAATGTCGGTTCCCATGCCATTGATGTCGTACACCTAAATTAACCTTATAGATAAGCCGGCAACTCTGTTCAGATTACATGCATCTCCAGAGCTTTCTTCTTCAGTTTTTTCTACTCATGAACTGCTATTTATCGCAGTAGTCAACGATTAGAACACGCTCCGAAGCTCTTTCCAACCCCTCCCCCCAACACTAAAAGACTTTGAAAACATAAAACACTGTGCTTACCGGGTCTCCGGGAGGAACGGGAATTTTCATGATTTCCAGTGGACAACTAGTTTGCGTTGAGCCTACAATTTCATAGGCGACCACTTGACCTGAAACACACGAAATCCTGCCTCTAACGCAGTGTTGTCCGTAAATGCTCTGTATTTGTGAACTGCTTCGGCTACCAAAGCTTACGTTATCTTATGCAGTTGCGAAGGCTCCTAAAGGCACAGTCCGCGATCAGGTATAGAAGTTGAAAATATGGCATCGGGAGGGTAGTGTGGTCCGCGACGAACAACCTTGTACCGGTTTCGCGGCAAAAAATTGTAAGGGAGGGGCGCTATAGCGCAATATAGGTTCAGTGACGCCTCCTTTTCTCCAGTGACTCCGCCCTCAAGGCCCGCCTTTCAGTGAAGAAACGAAGCTGCAGGACGAAAGCATGAAAATCGTCACTTGTACGGTCGTAGAGTTCTTATCGGGGAATCAGCTGTGCGGATGGGGGCGTAGTGTTGGATGGAGTTAAATGGGCACGTACAAACTGGGATCGGAATGGGGTTCTATCTAGGGCAGCTGGCATGTTTTTTTCTGCTTTTTTCTTCACTATCGAGTTCTCAGCAC